GTTGTTTAATGATTTGTTGATGGCAGCCATTCTGACAGGTGTGAAGTGATACTTCATTGTTGTTTTAATTTGCATCTCTCTGATGATTAGTGACACTGAGCATTTTTTCATATGTCTCTTGGCCATTTGTATGTCCTTTTTGGAGAGGTGTCTCTCTCTTTTTATTTTATCCTCACCCGAGGACATTTTTGTATTCATCTTCAGACAGAGTGGGAGGGAGAGAGAGGGGGGAAGAGACAGAGAGAAACTTCGATGTGAGAGAAACACACCTACTGGTTGCTACTTACATGACCCCAACTGGGGCGGGGACAAACTGTAACTGAGGTACGTGCCCTTAGCGGGAACTGAACTTGGGACTCTCTGGTCCACAGGCTGATGCTCTAATTGCTGAGCCAAATCGGGCAGAGCGAGAGGTGTCTGTTTAGGTCCTCTGCCCATTTTTAATTGGGTTCTTTGTCTTCCTTTTGTGGAGTTGTGTGAGTACTCTATATATTTTGGAAATTAACCCCTTATCTGATGTATCATTGCCAATTATGCTTCCCATATAGTGGGTTCCCTTTCCATTTTGATGGTTGTTTCTTTTGCTGTGCAGAAGCTTTTTAGTTTGATGTGGTCCCATGTGTTCATTTTTTCCTTTGTTTCTCTTGCCTTAGGTGTTGTATCAGTAAAAATTCTGCTGCGTATGATGTCTGAAATTTTGTTGCCTGCATTTTCTTCTAGGATTTTTATGGATTCACGAGTCACATTTAAGTGTTTTATCCACTTTGAATTTATTCTTGTGGTGTAAGTTGGTGGTCTGGCTTCATTTTTTTTTTTTTTTTCATCTAGCTATTCAATTTTCCCAACACCATTTATTGAAGAGGCTGTCTTTATTCCACTGTATGCTCTTGTCACCTTTAATTATATTAATTAATTGGGTCCATTTCTGGGTTCTCTGTTCTGTTCTATGGATCTATGTGCCTGTTCTCATGCCAGTACCAGGCTGTTTTGATTACTATTGCTTTGTAGTATAACCTGATATCTGGGTTTGTGATCCCTCCTACTTTGTTCTTCTTTTTCAGATTGCTGTGGCTATTCAAGGCCTTTTTAGGTTCCATATAAACTTTTGGACTATTTGTTCTAGTTCTCTGAAGTGTATCGTTGGTATTTTGATGGGGATTGCATTGAATCTATAGATAGCTTTGGGTAGTATGGACATTTTAATGATGTTAATTCTTCCAATCCATGAACATGGTATATGCTATACACACACACACACACACACACACACACACACACACACATCTATCTATCTATCTTCCTCTATTTCTTTTTTCAATGACCTATAGTTTTCTGTGAAGAGATCCTTTACTTCTTCGGTTAAGTTTATTTCTAGGTATCTTAATTTTTTTGCCATGATGGTAAATGGGATTTTTTTTTTTTTTTTAGTTTCTTTTTCTGTGAGTTCATTGTTGGTGTATATGAATGCCATCGATTTCTTGACGTTAATTTTGTATCCTGCTACTTTGCCAGATTCACTTATTAAGTCTAGTAGATTTTTTATGGAGTCTTTAGAGTTTTCTATGTACAATATCATGTCATCTGCAAATAATGACAGTTTCACTTCCTCTTTTCCTATTTGGATCCCTTTTATTTTTTCTTCATGCCTAATTGCTGTGGCTAAGACTTCCAGTACTATGTTAAATAAGAGTGGTGAAACTGGACATCCCTGTCTTGTTCCTGTTCTTAAGAGAAATGCTTTTAGTTTTTGCCTATTGAGTATGATGTTGGCTGTAGGTTTTTCATATATGGCCTTTGTTATGTTGAGATATGATCCCTCTATTCCCAGATTGCTGAGCGTTTTTATCAGAAATGGATGCTGGATTTTGTCGAATGGTTTTTCAGTATCTATTGATATGATCATATGGTTTTTATCTTTCATTTTGTTTATGTGGTGTATCACATTTATTGATTTGCAAATATTGTACCAGCTTTGCATCCCTGAGATGAATCCCACTTTGTCATAGGGAATAATTTTTTTGATGAATTGCTGGATCTGATTTGCTAATATTTTGTTAAGGATTTTGGCATCTGTGTTCATCAGGATTATTGGCCTGTAGTTTTCTTTCTTTGTAGTGTCTTTATCTGGTTTTGGAAGTAGGGTTATACTGGCCTCATAACATGAGTTTGGAAGTCTTCTGTCTTTTTGGATTTTTTTGAATAGTTTGAGGAGAATGGGTATTAGATCTTCTTCGAATGTTCAGTAAAACTCCCCCATGAAGTCATTAGGGCCTGGGCTTCTGTTTGCTGGGAGTTTCTTAATTACATGTTCAATTTTCTTTGTTTTATTGATCTGTTCAAGTTTTCTATCTCTTCCTGGTTCAGTTTTGGGAAACTGTGTGTTTCTAGAAATGTGTCTATTGCACCTAGATTGTCCAATTTGTTGCTGTATAATTGTTCATAGTATGTTTTGATGATTCTTTGTGTTTCCGTGGTGTCAGTTGTTAACTTCTCTTTCATTTCTGATTTTGTTTATTTGGGTCCTCTCTTTCTGTTTCTTGGTGAGTCTGGCTAAAGGTCCATAGATGTTGTTTATCTTTTCAAAAAACCAGCTTTTTGTTTCATCGATCTTTTGAACTGTTTTTTTTTTTAGTTTCTATGTTGTTCATTTCTGCTCTGATCTTTACTATTTCTTTCCTTCTACTTGCTCTGGGTTTTTCTTTTTGTTTTCTTTCTAGTTCTTTAAGTTGTAGGGTTAGAGAGTCAATTAGGAATTTTTCTTGTTTCTTGAGGTAGGCCTGTAGTGCTATGAACTTCCCCCTCAGGACTGCTTTCTCTGTGTCCCATAGATTTTGTGTTGTTGTGTGTTTGTTTTCAGTGGTTTCCAGGAAGTTTTTAATTTTGTCCTTGATCTCGTTAATAACCCATTCTTTGTTTAATAACATGTTATTTAGCCTCCATGTGTTTGAATGTTTTTGTTGTAATCGAATTCTAGTTTCATGCCATTGTGATCCGAGAATATGCTTGATATGATTTTAATCTTTTTGAATTTGTAGAGACTTACTTTGTGTCCTAACATGTGGTCTATCTTTGAGAATGTCCCGTGTGCACTTGAAAAGAATATATATTCTGCAGCTTTGGGGTGATATGTTCTGTAAATATCAATTAAGTCCAACTGATCTGTGTAGTCATTTAAGGACTCTATGTTCTTGTTAAGTTTTAGTCTGGAAGATCTATCCAGTGGGGTGTTAAAGTTGCCCACTATGATTGTATTGCTATTGATCTCTCCCTTGAAGTCCTCTAAAAGTTTTTAAATATATTTTGGTGCTCCCATATTTGGTGCATATATATTTACCAGGGTTACATCCTCTTGTTATATCCCCATGCTCCCCCAAAGCCCATAGTTTACCTCAGGGTTCACTGTCGGTGCACATTCTATGGGTTTGGACAAATGGGTAGTAATGTATCCATCATTGTGGTATCATACATAAGTTATGGTATTAGAAGTTAAATATTGTGGGGAATGATGTGTAAATATTTGCTACATTGTTCATTAACCCAGTGTGGTGGTGCACCAGTAGTGTGCTCTTACTATTTTCACATTATCTCACTAAGTGCAAATTGCATCTTGAGGCTTCTGACTTCTAGTGTATTTTTCTAGCCATGTTGAACTTCAAGAATATGGGGCATCAATTTTTCTGTTTCCATAATATTTCTTCTACTTAGTCCCCCATCTTTAAGTTGGCCCTACCCATGTACATTTTTATTCCATTCCTGGGGACTTCCAACACCTGTTTTTTGTTTTGTTTTTTGAGTTTCAAATCTAAGTTCCTAATCTGAGACCCTCAGGGTTCCAGAGGGTCTGTAAACAGATTGAAGAAAATATATTTATTTTCACTAAACTATAATTTAAATTTATCATTCCTTTCAATTATTATCAGGCATACAAATTTATAGTTCATTGGCTCTTAATATTCTATTTAAATTATACATGTAAGCATTAGTTTTTCTTAAACACCGCCTTTTAAAAACTTTATTTAAAAAAAAATTCAGTTCTCACCCGAGCACATGCTTAGAGAGAGGAAGCGAGAAAGAGAAGCACTGATGTGAGATGGAAACATCAATTGCTTTGCCTTCTGTACGTGCCCCAGCCAGGGATAGAACCTGAAACCCAGGCATCTGCCCTGACTAGGAATAGAACCAGTAACCTTTCAGTGCACAGGATGAGGCTCAACCAACTGAGCAACTCTGACCAGACTTAAAAACTTTTTAAGCCCTGGCCAGTTTGGCTCAGCGGTTGGATCATCGGCCTGAGGACCAGAGAGTCCTGGGTTTGGTTCTAGCTAAGGACATGTACCTTGGTTGCAGTTTGTCCCCGGCCCCAATTGGGGTCGTGTAGGTGGCAGCCAGTCAATGTGTCTCTTTCACGTCGATGTTTCTCTCTCTCTCTTCCTCCCTCTCTCCCTCCCCCTCTATCTGAAGATAAAAAAATAAAGAAAAAAAAACTTTAAAACTTTCAGTATACAAAGATAGGATAGTATAATTAACCCTCACGTACTTCTCACCCAGCTTCAGTAATTGTCAACACCTGCTAATCTCATTTCCTCTCTTTTCCTGTCCCACCTTGCCACGAGATTGTTTTGAAGCAAATCTCAGACATCATATCATTTCATCTATGACACCTCAGTATGTATCTTCAAAAGATAAAAGTTCTTAAAAAAGAGATGTACAAAGTATGACCCATCAGGAGTTATAAGCACCATCAAGCACACATGTTTCAGCTTTAAAATTTTTTTTTTCTTTATTGATTTTAGAGAGAGAGAGAGAGATAGAAACATCGATGAGAGAGAACACTGATTGGCTTCCTCCTGCATGCCTCCCACTGGGGATTTGGCCCACAACCTGGACATGTGCCCTGACCAAGAATTGAACCCATGACCTCTGGGTGCATGGGTCGGCGCTCAACCACTGAGCCACACCTGCTGGGCCATATTTCAGTTTTGAGTCCAACATTCACAACGGAGGGTACAGCATAAATGCAGTCCCCCACTACCAGAAATTATGCAGTTGAGTTTCCCACATTTGGGGAAATCACAGAGGTCAGCGCATCTGGAGTGCAATGGGTCAGCCTCACCCCGGGAAAACCACCTTCCTCATCATGGCATGTCCCCTGCCTGTTCCAGGGGCCCTGTGTTTTGCCTTAAGCTGGAACAACACTGCTTGTGAAGAATAGACTGCCAGCTTTTCCCACAATAAAAACAGTTGTCAAGTCCACGGTGATGGTCTCCACAGCCACCTTGGAGACAGAGTACCACCTATAAGGAGAAAACCTACCGGACTGGTGCAAACACTCATCTAAAGTTATTCAACAAGTATTTACTGAACTCCTACCACTGGTCCAGCTGCTGAGGTTATAGCAGTAGATTGACAGAGAAACCTGCCCTGTGGGTTACATTCTAGTGAGGAACACAATAAGCTGCACATAGTTTCTATTCTGACAAGTACAAACCCTGTCCCAAAGGATAGGGTGAACCTATCCTTTGTGATGAGGCTGTTGAACAGAAGAACAGCATAGTAGTCGGTCTGTTCTTTTTTTTTTTTTTTTTCTTTATCCTCACCCGAGGACATTTTTCCATTTTTTGTTCAGATAGAGTGGGAGGGAGAGAGAGAGACAGAAACATCGACGTGAAAGGGACACATTGAGTGGTTGTCGCCCGCACGACCCAACCAGGGCCGGGGACAAACTGCAACCAAGGTACTTGCCCTTAGCGGGATCCGAACCCGGGTCTCTCTAGACCGCAGGCCAACGCTCTAACTGCTGAGCCAAACTGGCCACGGTAGTCTGTCTGTTCTTGCTCCACATTCAGCCAACTCCTATCCCTTTGAACAGGCTGAATGTGGGAAGAGTGTCACCTCTCAGTATCCAAGCTTCTCCAGAGAACCAGGAGGTGAAACTTCTTGGTTAAGGTCATGTTCTTAGTTGATCCATGGCATCAAGTTATCTATAAGCTACTTCTATCTAAATCCATATCTATATATAAATAATGAAGGAAATAGACAAAAATACATTTCCAAATAAAAATATATAAACAAATAATACAATTTTAAAATAAAAGATAATTTTTTTTTGTCAAGCACAACCACAATACATATTACTTTAAACAATAATTTAAAATTATTCAATTAGTACATTCAGGCCTCCATACTTATGGGTTCAGCAGCCACAGAATTAACCAACCATAGGTCAAAAATATTCAGAAAGTGTTACATTGTTGCTGATGTATACTATGTAGTTAGGCATTGGGTCTGTACTGAACATGTACAGACTTTTATTTTTGTCATTCCCAATAATACAGTGTAACAACTATTTACATAGCACTTACATTGTACTAGGTATAAGAAATCTAGAGATGATGTAAGGCATATGAGAGGATGTGCAATAGAGTATATGCAAATACTGTGTTCTTTTATATAAGGGACTTGAGTATCTATTGATTTTGGTATCCTAGGGATGGGGATCCAAAATCTACACCTTAAATTTATTGCTGTGCCTCTTGAGTCTCTTAATCCAAAGGATCTATGTAGGTGTTTTCCCTTTTTCATTCTTGCAATTTATCTGTCGAAGAACAACTTGTTTTTTTTGTCCACTCAGCAAATAAACTATTGTTTCTTTACAATTTATTTTTTTGATGAACACTTGACCTGTAGAGTTTTTCCATTCTAGATTTTGCTGATTACATTTCTATGTATTTTCTGTGAAATGGTAGTTAGATCTAGAATAGGATTTCCAGGTAAAACACAGGAGTCCCAGTTAAATTTGAATTTCAACTAAATAATGAACAACTTTTTTAAAGAGTAAATATGTTTCGTGCAATGTTTGGTCATCTTGTATTTTTATTTGCTAAATTTGGCAACCATGATCTAGAAACTTGATCACATTCAGATTTGGTTTTGGACAAGAATACATTCAATATAGTGTTGTGTACATCCATCAGGAGACACTTAATGTCTGGTTGTTTGTCTTTTTGTGATGTGAAGAAGGACCTGTGGGCTCAGGTTATGTCAGCTGCATGTATCCATTGTTACTATAACCCCCCAGCTTTTCACCTGATGATTTTGGCAGGTAAAAATCATTGCCCAGAATCATTACTTTATTAGGGTTTGCAGTATGATGGTATTTAAGTCTATCATTCTTTCTGCATTCATTAGCTGGTATTCTTCTATAAAGAACTTACTCTCCTGTACGGCTTATGTAGGAAAGTTAAGCTGTTTCCTAGAGTCTGAATATTGCAAGCACCTAAGAGAGATCCTTACAAATCTAACAATAAAATCTTGCTAGGGATTTAGATACTTTATAAATCCAATAACTCAAAATATACATTTAGTAAGATACACATCTTAAAGCATTTCTATATGTTAAAAAATCAAACACCTACATTTACAAAATCAGACTCTTCTGAATTTAAATGTTGACTGTACACTTAGTTTAATCTTCTTAAGGATTATAATTAAAATTATATGTTAAATTCTCTAGTAAATCAGATTGTCTGACATGTTTCATTCAAACCACTGAAAATTGAATAAAGTCTATAAAAAGAAGTACAATGATTATACACCTTTTCACATCAGGGTTGGCACAGTTTATATTAAAACTTTATTTCGTCATCATCTATATGTTTATTATTTGTGCCTTTTTAGGACTGAAAACTCATTTATTCATTTAAGGAGAGACGAGGAAGCATCTTAAGTCTATTACCACACCAAAAAGTGATTCAAGGTGACCAGCCAAGAAGGGCAGCCCGAACATGGGCGCTGGGGTCCACCTTTCTCAGTGTCTGGCTGTCAACTCCAGATCTTTCAACTGGAGTTCATTATACATTTCTTGACCCAGGGCATCATACATTTTGGTCATCTTTCAGATTTCATCTTTACCTAGTTTTACTTTCTGATTTAGGAAGATGGGTTGAGCCAATCTGGTGGCTGGCTGTTAAGAGCTCATTGAATTCAGCACTCTCTATGATTTTGTTTCTGTATCCACTTCCATTCCAGAGTGTTTGTTAACAAATCAAACTTAGAACTCTAAATAAAATGTGAGCAGTGTTCCCTGGTCATTTCTCATTCCTTTTTTAAAAAAATTACAGTTGGGCCCTGGCCAGTTTGGCTCAGCGGTTAGAGCGTCAGCCTGCGGTCCGAAGAGACCCAGGTTCGGTTCCCGCTAAGGGCACGTACTTCGGTTGCAGTTTGTCCCCGGCCCTGGTTGGTCGTGTGGGTGGCAGCCACTCGATGTGTCCCTTCACGTCGATGTTTCTCTCTCTCTCCCTTCCTCTCTCTCCCTCCCACTCTATCTGTACAAAAAAATGGAAAAATGTCCTCGGTTGAGGATAAAAAAAAAAAAAAAAAAAGAAAAGAAAAAAATTACAGTTGGGCCCTGGCCAGTTTGGCTCAGCAGTTAGAGCGTCGGCCTGCGGTCTGGAGAGACCCGGGTTCGGTTCCCGCTAAGGGCACGTACTTCGGTTGCAGTTTGTCCCCGGCCCTGGTTGGTCGTGTGGGTGGCAGCCACTCGATGTGTCCCTTCACGTCGATGTTTCTCACTCTCTCTCCCTTCCTCTCTTTCCCTCCCATTCTATCTGTACAAAAAATGGAAAAATGTCCTCGGGTGAGGATGAAAAAAAAAAAATTACAGTTGGCATTCAATATTATTTTATGTTAGTTTCTGGTATACAGCAAAGTGGCTAGACATTTAATATAATTTATGAAGTAATACCCCCAATAGTTCTAGTACTGGCCCATATATAATGATCACAATATCACTGACTATATTCCCTATGTACTTTCCATCCCTGTGACTGTTTTGTAACTAGAAATCTGTACTTCTTAATGCTTTCATGTGTCACTCAGCCTCAAAGTTTCTCGTTCTTATTGATGTTTTTCAGATAAAGAACTAACCAATGTGAAATGAAGCAAGTGTCTCTCATGACAAGTTTTCAGTTGAAAAGCCAGGACTCTCATTCAGGACTCCTTTTCCACCTACTACTAGGTCAGAAGTAGGCAATACGTGACCTTGCTGTTGTTTGGTGTACATCTTAGTTGTCTCAGGTGGATGTCCTCTGTATTCCAACTTCCTGCCTTCTACGCTTCCATTTCTTCACAGCTATAGGTGAGAGATCACTGGGGGAAAAAGAGCTTATTTACATAAATATTGTGGCGCAACAAGTTGATTGTGACACCTCATATCCTGAACACAAAAGTATCTTCCCAGTCCTTGTTCACTCAGTGTACAAAATACTAACATCCACTGGCTTGTTGAAATGGGCCTTGGGGTTTTCAAGTAAAGGTATTGCTTAAAATAACCTGCATTATTTTCTTTACTATTAAGCAACCTATTTCCAATCTAAAGATACAGATGACTGCAGCCTCTCAGCTCAGTTAGCCCATTTCTATTGTTGATCTGTTTTTGTCTTATAGAAACATTTGCAGTTTCCATTACATTTGAAATAATCTATTCTGCAAACTGCTAAATGTAAACAATTGGTGTATTTGCCTAATTCTATATATATGGTAGCTTAAAATTCTATATACTTCTTTAGAAACAGAATGCAAACCGGAATTTAAATTATGACATTCTAGCTTGAGGCATTATTATTTTCATAGGGGTGACTATAAAAAGATGACTTTTTATTATAATAGCTCCCCCCCCCCCCGCCCCGCCCCAGACACTGATGATCTTTTAAGACTTTGTCATTAGGAACAGTCTGTGTGATCTTGGGAGTGTAGTTGGAAATATCCCAAAGGAGTAAGCCAGCAATGCCTTCCTCAGCTCGTAGAGCAGAGAGGCCATAGCATCCAGTCTAACCTTTTCAAGTGATAGTTATGCATCTCAATCCTACAGGGGTTTTGCAAACTTTCAGAGGTTCCCAGGGCTGGCCAAGTTGGGCAACAAGAGGTGGGCTAATACAATCAAGACCGGAAGTAACATTTCATTTTTTATTTATTTGTAAAAGGGTTATTGTAGGCAGCTTACAGTATAAAATCTCACTGTGGTAGGCTGAAGAGTGGTCCCCCAAAGTTGTGTACATCTTTTTTTTATCCTCACCTGAGGACATTTTTCGATATTTTGTTCAGATAGAGTGAGTGGGAGAGAGAGAGAGAGAAACATCGACGTGAAAGCGACACATCAA